GAGCCCAATTCCTGATTCTACACAATTCCAAAAAATTATTAATGATCTTTTCTTTTGTATAAATGATAACAAACTTTGCAATATGAATTCTTTGTTCCGTTGGGACTGACTGTAGCTTTTGCTTGTTTTCGTTGCGCTTGCCTTCCCCTCTTTGGTCTTTCCAAAGTTTCCATAACCTTGAACCTTCCAAGTTGGAAGGCTGTCGGTTAGCGCTACGGAGATGTGTTGAAGCTAGGTGTCAGGACGTCGAATGTTTCAGTACTCTGTCAGTTTTGTGCCTAGTAATTGCACTTTCTGACTGTATAAAGTATCATGTTACAGTGATGGAGAGTTACTCTTAACTCGTATCCATATGTCCTTTTCTCTTCTACATCTATAAACTTTGCAATCTCCAAATTTTGGTAAAATTTTGCACGGTTCATACAATGTCATGTACCTATATGTAAAGTGGACAGACATGTACTTTCCAAAAATAATCGGTAGAAATTTGGCCGATTTTCTGTGTTAGGCCGGAACTTTTTGAGCGCTCTTGTATAAGTACAGTTTCAGTTCATACTGAATACTGCCACATGTCCGGTTTACAAAATACTTGACTACAAAGTGATCATATGATTATACATGTACTAGATGGAGTAGAGAAGAGAGTAGACAAGCAGCAATGAGTGGCATGAAGTCCAACACAAATTTGCTTCTGGAATTGCTACAAATAATACGCTACGTTGATTCCAATTGATCATGGGTTGAGGGAGGTCAATTGCTAGTATATAGTGTCCTCAATGACTCCTCAGCTGCTGAGGGCCCCACTAACTCTGAACAAGCAACTATCCAGTGGTCAAATAAACAATCATGGCAAGCTTGCAAAATGGAAGCGGCACAAGTAAGGTACCTTAACTAGGGCTTTTAAAAACGGTCACAACTTTTGCATGACCGGGTGTCCTTGGTCGGATAACCGGTTATAACCGGTTATTGGACTCCAGCACATGTGCACGAACATGAACTAGCGCACCACACACTATTTTTATTAAACACAATTGAGACCTATACATTGGCATCAAAACGAGGCTTCCTCAGCCTCAAGCTGAATCATGGCAATGAAGCTAGTTTCGTCTTCAGCGCCCAGCAAAAAATCCAGGATTTCCTTCCCACTGGATCAACAACATGACTGCAGCCGTTGCTGCATCCTTCTCCAAATCCGAAAGCTCCTGCCAATTAGTGAAAAAAATAGTGACCTGCTATCCTGCATTATGGCGTTGAAATTGGTGCTGTACACCATGCACGGTGACATTATGCATGTGCATGAAAACCTGTTTGGAACCGCGAACTAAACGGTTTCTAAAAACCATTAAATTCTAGCAGTCGGATAACTGGTTATCCGGTATAACCATTTTTTAAGAGCCCTAGGCCTAGTCTTAACGTTGTATGGTTAAATATTATTGACTATTATTGACTTGTTTGGTCCTATCATCTAGGGCAGCTTGTAACAGTCAAAGTTGCCATGCGTTTTACCCGTTTTCAAAACGCTTTTCTCCTTCAGCAGCTCAGAGAGTACTCTGTTCGTTCTCTTCTTGATCTCCGTGGTGCACGCACCCTTTTCGAGGTCAACACCTTCCATGAAACGGGTTATTTGCCGCACGTCAACGTCGATGATGTTTGGTGGCTGATCTCTCAATGTTCTCATCATCTCCAGCACTTTGCTCTTGAACTCTGGGCTGCTCAGTGACAATAATTCTTCTTTGGAGTGCTGCTTGGCAGCAGCAGTAGCAGCAGCAAAAGCAGGGTGCTTAGTCCGGCAATCATGGGGTTCTGTAATGGCAGACCGTAGGAGTCGTGCGAGAGCGTCAAAATCATTTCTGGACAGCACAGCTAGGAAGATCACAAGTGGACTCTTGCTACTATATGCATTCTCACGGTCCGTTTCGATCAGCTTTCGGGTCTTCTCCTCCACTTGTTCCAGCAAGGTACGCATATGATCAACTCTAGTGTCTTGCTTATGGCTTGCCTTCAGGTAACATTGCCTAGCTTCATGCTCCGACTCTTCTGCTAACTCAAAGAACCCGAACTCCTTCAATCCGTCGATGATTGAAACAACATGGCCGGTTCCCTCCGTGACTTTATCCAATATATCGGTCCAGCAATTCTGAACACAGTCAATTGGCCGTGTACACCTGGATTCTTTGATATCAGCTGCTAATTTGGTCGGAACGAATCCATGCGATATTTCCGCACCAGCACCTTCTTCAACCATTGATCCAGACTCAGCTTTCTTAGCCGCCTGCGGTCTGCATTTCTTAGGAGAGGAGGACATAGCGATCCGTGTACTAGTTGCTGCTCCAGAGGTTGATCACACTGCAACAAATGTCCGTGTAACCTCCTAGTCTGTGCAGCGTTTTATTCCAAGGACGACATATTACGGCTTTCGCACTAGCGCAGATGAGAAAATCGCTTGCCCAGGCCAGGCCAGGGCACCTGCTACGTCGCTGACGATTCTGACCTCATCACTCACATCAGCTACCTAGCTAGGGACCAGTAGGGTGTATGAGCGAGCGACTCGTAGCTAGCTTGCTTCGAGCTGATTACTGACAGCGAAAGCGAGCAAGGAACGAAACAAGAAAGTCACAATAATACGGAGGATTAGCAAGACGAAATTCGCGTTCGCGTTGGCAAACATTTTTCAGTTCGCGAACTGGATTGCGAACTTTCACATTTTTCGTTCGGAAAAGTAGTCGGAACACGAATCGTGGATTCGTGTCAGGGCAGTCATAAATTTACTACACTGTACTGCCTACGTCGTGTCAACGTCATACATGTGCGAATTCTGTTTGCTAATCCTTCTCATAACGCGAATTCCGTCACTGAGTTCGACTTTCTTTGGAGAGCGAACGCGAACGCGAATTTCGTCTTGCTAATCCTCCGTAATGTCATCGTTGTGCACGAGGCAAACAAATCTAGCTGATCCGCTGCAGCTACCGCGGGCCTGGGCTGGGGGGCCTGGGGAATACCGGTCCGTCCCTGCACGCTCAACCCAAAAATGCCTGCAAAAGAAAAGGGCTCTAGCCTTTTTGTAGGTAGATCTACATGTTCCCCTGCCCTGCTGACTGCTATCCATCTGAATTCTGATGACTGTATACATCATGTTGGTGACACAGACAGACTCTGCAAGAACTAATTACTTACTTAGGAGTTAGGTAACTGGTTGGATCATGGAGTCGTATTACTACAAAAATTGTAGGCTGCAGACTAGACAGCGCGGCATGCAGGTAAGTGGCGTCATATTTGCTGGGGAAGAAATCGGGTATTCCCCTTCCGTTCGGTCAAGTTTCGGTCAGGATCAGCTGTGTCAGCAGTGTCTCAGCTTACTAGGGGTGTACGTGTGCGGATAATGCTCGAAAAGGTGGCAGATTCTGCTCGAAAAGCAGTGAAATTGGCAGAACCATACAAACCTTATGGCGGGTAGCCCATTCCCTAAGGCTAAGGTGCTTTTTTTAATTCACACTTAGTGCTTTTCGCGTCCCTCGAAATATGCTGAAAAAGTGCTCTTTTTTTAGTGAAAACAGGCAAAAAGTGCTCTTTTTCTGTGAAGCATAGCCATGATACATGTTCAGATATGATTCATATGAACCCAAGCTGAGAAATGAATACGCACTCTTCCATTTATGGGTCCACGAAAGGCAAAACAGGAAGTCTAGTAAAGTAAAAAATAAAAAAGACTTTTTACAGCATCGTGTACAAGCTTCACCAACTTGTTGCCCCCCAAAAAGCGGCGTGCCAACTTCCAAGGCCCATCCAGCACTCCGAAATTGTGATCGCATGCATGAGCAAACAGATTTTAGCACTTTTTCAGCTAAAAAAGCTCAAAAAGGGCGATATTCACCAAAAAACGCAATAAAGGGCGAAAGAAACGGGCTTTTCCAAAAAGGGCCAAAAAGGGCGAAAAAAGGGCGATCACCTTTGGGAAAGGGCTAATGGCGGGCAATTCCTCGAATTCTGCTCCATTTCTTTATCCACATACCAAACATGCATGAAACTTACCAGAAAAAGTACCGAATTCTGCCAATTTTTCTGCCGGCATTATCCGCATATGCCTAATAGTAATACCAGCTGCTGCCTGGTCCACCATGCATACATAGTCATACCAGCTGCTGCCTGGTCTGGTCCACCATGCATACAAACCATGCATACAAACACAAGCCTCTTTTACCGGCAAACAGAATACAATTCACGGTACCATGGCGAAGAATTAGAACATTTAAAAACACAACACCAAAAATGAAAACTTCCGAGAGCAGGTCGGGCATGGGATTGTGCGGCGCTCGGAGCCAGACTTGCATGTTCAGCAGCTGCAATTGTGCCGGTGAATCAGTGATGCCCCATTTTGCTCCGGAAACAGCGGCCACAGGTGTGGCAGTGGTACTGACATTGGCTGCAATCAGATGGGCGAGGTGCAACTACCTCTGAAACTGGAGAGTCACCAAGGCTGGGAGAGCAGCTGTGCACGGCAAGTCCACCTCGGCTAGCAAACCAACGATGGCATATTTCACACAACACAGCACCGGACTGTTCATAGATCGGCTTCAGTCGCTCCTCCCTGCATTTGTGCCGACGAAGTCCACTTTGACTGGCGAAGAGTGGCTCACAGACCGCACAACATACTGACTTGGCTGTCGTATCAAGTTACAAGCGACGTGCAACAATGGAATCCGAGATGGACTGGATCCACTCACCACGTTCACCTGCAAGGTCGTACCAACTGTTGTATAGGCCGACAGCCTTGAGCAAGTTGAGGTCATGACGTACCACATCACGCCATCGACGCCTGGGACCATGAGCAGGGCGTGGAGCATGGAGCCACCAGAACAACACTGCCCGGTTTGGAAGCCGATGGTCGTCCATCCTGGCAATGTGGCCAAGCCACTGGAGACGTCGACAGGTAATCATGTCAGCAACTGGCTCTGTAGCGCACATTCTATGCAGTGAGGCAGAGTCCAGGTGGTCTTCCCACT